GTGGGGTTGTTAACCAATGTCATAAAACAACATGTGTACTTCTGTTTCATGAGAAACTATTTGTTCTGTAAGCCTTCACCTGAAGTACAATAAAAAAAATTAAATTAAATTAAAAAAAAAATTGCTTCTTAAGCATACACTATGTGCAAGTACTACTATAAGTACTGAAGTTATAGCCCTCATTGAGTTTTCTTAGTAGTCCTGATGATTTCAAATATGTAGCTTAAAAGTGTATTACTAAATTTTGTGAGTGTAAATTGCAGAATCATAAAAATCAAATGGAGGTATAACTCAAAATTGAAATATTTTATCATCATTCTGTAATAGGCTCCTTAATGGGTCTTAGAATAAGTTTGTTAAATCCAATTAAGTTTTGAAGTGACACTAAAGATATAAACAACTCTAAATCTTTTTCTCCTTTTTTTTTTTTTTTTTTTGGTAAACCACAAAAGTAACTATGTTCTTAGAGAACAAAATGTACCTTACTGCACCATTTAGAAAAGTTACAAGCCTTACTAAAAACCAAAGCCAAACCTGTTGCCATCGAGTCAACTTTGACTCATAATGAGCCTATAGGGCAGAGAAGATCTGCCTCATAGGGTTTCCAAGGAGAAGCTGGTAGATTTGAGCTGCTGACCTTTCAGTTGGCAGCTGAGCTCTTACCCACTGAGCCACCAGGGCTCAAGCCTTACTAACGGTGTAATTTAAAGAATATCAATCAACTATGAAGGTAGAAAGTCTTGAGTTAAAAAACAGGTTTGAATTCTTGCTAGCTATTTAACTTTCTTCATATTATGTAACCTTGCTGAGCCTCCCTTTATTATCTGCAAAATATTGTTATTGGGTGCCATCTGACTCATACCAACCCCATGCGCCCTGGGTGGGTTCTAACAGCCAGTCTTTCTGTTAGCACTGTTTAACCATTGTGCAATCAGGGCTCCTTACCTTCAAAATAGGGATGATTATTACTATTGTGGGAGCATGAATATCAAATAATTTAAAGTGCTTAATTGTTATTAGCAGACACTTAAAATATTTGCCTGATCATATTTTCATATTTCACATAACCTGTGCCTATAAAGGGAATTTGGTCCTTGTCAGTAGTGAAGTGACAGGTAGTGACGTGACCTTGGATAAAACGCTAGAATACAGACAGTATCAATGAACAGATTTGGGCTGAGCAGACTTTGAACACTAATAAGGACTCTCCAGGAAATCAGAGGAGAATTTAGGACTTTCCTGAGGAGAAACCACCTTCTCAGGAAGCTGAGAAAAGCTCTTTAATTTTATCATCATCCACTTAGTAAGGTTTTTAAAGGACACATGAGACCTTAATAGTAAAGACCTCGTTTTCCTTAGTAAGAACCTGAAGGTGAAGCATGATATGCATGGTTTTGTGCTTTCCTTTGCACAAAAAGTTGTCGGCATTGCATGCTGCTTCCTAATCTGCTAAAATAATCTGTCAGTAAACCCAAAGACCCAGATTCCGGATGCAGATATGGAAAATGCGCACATTCCTACTTTCCCCAATCAGGCAAGACTAGATCGAAGGGCGGTCTTATGACCACTGGAGCACAAACCCTCCAGGTGCGCACTGACCGGCTAGACCGAGAACTATTTGCAGCGTGAGCGGATAGGTTGAGGGGCGGGGAGAGAAGCGAATTCTCCTCAGTCAAATCAAGCAAATTTTAACAGACCCTTAATAATCGCCCCGGCGGAACTGGGACTGGCGGGCGGGGAAGACACGGGTCCTGTAATGATCACCAATGATTGGGTGCCTGTCAAGGTGCACGCAGGAAAAAAAAAAAAGGTCTCCCCAGGCCGGCAGCGGGGAAGAGCTACCGTCGCACTCTTCTCCGGCAGCACCGGGAGCGCGGCTCTGCCAGATTACCAGCGCTCTGCGCCGGGGGGGCGGGTTCCAAAGGCCGTTCCCTCCGCCCCTCGCGTCGCTGCCACCGCCTGGCTGCGCCCCAGCCCAGCGGCTCAGATGTGACCGCATCCCCTTGGACGGTAGAGGCGGCAGCGAGCTAGAGCCGGCGTCGCCGCTGCGGGCCCGCAGGGAGGCTGGGCGAGCAGGAGCGCGCTGGAACCTGGCCCAGGCTCGGCGGGCAGCTCTGCGTGCGACTGGTAAGTATCTGGTGGAGGGAGAGCGGTAGCGGGTGTCGCTGGTGCGGGGATGGAGCGAAAGGACTTGGGGAGTTGGGGGAGACCGAGCGAGTGAAGATGTGACAAATGCAACTTTCCTGTTTTCCTCTCGGTCTGCAGAAGCATCGGGGGTGAAATTCAAAGTGGATGCCCCTTTTGCTAAGACAACCACATCATTTATCATGTAAACCAGAGTACTTTTGGAGTAAAAGGAGGTGCTCAGATCAGCTGGCTTTACCCGGGAGGTATAGTCAGCTGCTTTTTGCATAGTCTGCCCTGAAGGTGGGCACTGTTGACCTGCTGTCACAAGTTGCTGAGCCTTTTGCCACTCGCGCCAGCAATGCCACGTAATTTTCTTTGAGCGGCGCTTTCCAAGCCCCAGGCAGCCGCTTGCAGCCACCCGGTAGACCAGCAGAGACCCGAGTTCTAACCCGCTATGCCAGCGTCGAGCGGTGTGGCTTTAAACCAAATCCCCTCTCTGGTCTCTGTCCATTCTTTGATAAAATATGGGTGTGGATAGACCGGATGACCCAAAGTGTCCCCTGTAGCATTGGATTTTCCCTTCGCGTAGGCCCCCGGCCGTCACCTGGGGTCAGGACTCGAATACGAGGTGGTCTCAGGGTTGAGGCTAGAAGGGGAAGGAGGACGTAGGTCCTGGTGGCTGCTGATACAACCCGTTGGGGAAACCTCAGAAGATGAGATGCCCCCTGGGGTGAAGGGCCCTGTCTTGCCCACCATCTCAGCTGGGGCAAAGAACCAGAGCACAAGTCCCTGCCGAGGGAGACTGAGATGACCCGGGCGGCCCATTATCCCAGAGCTCCTCCCAGGACTTGGGACAAGCGTGGCATGAAATAAGAGGAAAGTGTTGGTTTTTGTTTTTATTAGCTGGTGTCTGTGCAGGACTGAAAATCGGAGATTCGAGGCAGTTGACCACTTAATCGTTCACCTAGAAAAACCAAAACAGTCTTATCAATGGTTTGGCTACTGACAATAGTGGAATTGGATTAGAATTACTCATTATTTCACATCTCTTTATGTACACGTAGCTTCAAAATCCATCTGTCCACTTTATCTTTTCACAAGAAGTCTTCCTTCTTACTGACATTGCCACACTCATTCTTTTAATCTCTCCTGAGATTTAACATTCAGAAAGTCAGGATTTATGTTAAGAAAATGAGAACTGAAGCTCACAGAAAGCACTTTAATAAGGTAAGTTCTGGATCAACGTTGGTTAGATCACCATTTTGAAAACCTTCCTTGTTTCCTGTTGGTGTGTCCTGTGCTGGTCAGTGTCCCCACCCACTCTACTGACGCTGTCTCAAGAAAATTAATTTTCTACAAAGATGTTTTGGAAGAACAAGTGATTGAATTTTGAATCAAAGTAAACTTTTGAAGAAAAAAATTTACGGGGGATAAGCTCCTGGTAGTTGACTTCTTAGTCACATCTCTACCACACAGCTTTCTTCACTAAAATGTCAAGGACTAGATGATTTTGTGCAGGGTATTTAAAAAGTGTCAAGTCTCATTTTTCTTCCTCTTTATCCAATTTTAGCATATTTTAGGTCAGTGAAGGATCGATTTAATTTTCCTCACAGTTCTTATAATTACTTAAATCCCTACCCAGTTTTTATTATAGAATTTTTTATTTCATCGAGGTATAATTTACATATCATGAAATTCATTCCTTTTAAGGGTGAATGATTTTTAGAAATTTACCCCTTTCATGATTTTTAGAAATTTTACCATGTTGTGTATCCATCACCATAATCCAGTTTTAGAACATTTTCGTCACCCCAGTAAGATCCCCCATGCTCATTTAATCTCTGTTCCCACCCCAACCTCAGGCAACCACTAATCTACTTTCTGTCTTTATAGATTTGCCTTTTCTGGACATTTCATATAAATGGAATCATACAATATGTGGTTTTGTTTTTTTTTAATGGCTTCTTTCACTCAGCATAATGTTTTTGAGGTTCATTCATGTTCTAACATGTCTCATTCCTTTTTACTGCTGAATAGTTTTCCATTATGTGGCTCTACCACATTTTGTTTATCCATTCGTCAGCCGGAGGATATTTGGGTTGTTTCTATTTTTGGTTGTTATGAATAATGCTGCCGAACCTTCACATGCAAGTCTTTGAGTTCATGTGTTTTCATTTATTTTGGGTAGATACCTACCAATGAATTATTAAACTTATGTTCAACTTTTTAAGGAGCATTACAGAATAATTTTCATGTAGAGATTATAGCTTGACAAAAATGTAGAAAATTCTGGAGAAATAATTGTTTCTCACTCCATCATATACGATTCTCTATGTATGCAGAGAGAGAGTTAGGAGAGGAAACGTTTTGCTTCCCTTCAAATTTTAAACTCAAGTATAGCAAACAATTTGAGAAAATGTTGCAGTATTTCCCAGAAATAAAATATTTCTTGCTTAGAGGATTTTTTTAAATGCTAAATGAGAGTAAATCAGGCATAATAAAGACTAAATTTCCTCCAATGTCCATTAAAAATGAGAAAGAAAGCTGTTTGCAAATTGTGTTTTAAGGTGTTGGTGAGATTCAGCCACGAATGGCTTGACAACAAAGTCAGTGGTTTTCCATTCCTTCAACACAAGATTTTAATTGAGTCAGAAAAAATTCTTTTAAATAATGATTAAGCATATTCTCTTATTGCATGTGAAGATCTAAGGCCCAATATTAAGTGATTTTCATGTAGAAAAATCATATATTAGGGATAAATTCAGGGTTTCTGTCTGCTTGTTTTGAAACTTTCTCTGTTAGTACATGCTCTTCTCTATTCTGTTGGTCTAAGATATTTGCGTATTAACATGCTCCGTGTACTTTTATAAGTTATTATCAGTAGTGATGTTATTTAAAAAGAACTCAAAGTTAACCAAATGAGCATACCCAGAAAATCAAAAGAATTTTTCCCCTTTTTGTTAATACTGCAACTGACTTTGAGGGATCAAATAGATATCCTACTTTTAAACTCAAGTGATACATGCCATTCATTCTAACTCTCAATGCCAAATAGCAGTTTTTTTTGCATCTGCCCAGGAATGGTACATGCTAGGAATTTTATAGAGCACAGTGAATTTATGTCGTTCTGTTACTGTATTCTTAAAATGTGATAGTGTCCAAGAATTTGGTGCTTGGTTGGATAGGAGAGTTTAGGGAAGTTTAGATGAGAATAAAATAATTTAGATTTGCATATATTACTGAGCAAGAGGAAATAATTCCATCTAGAATCCTGGATCATTTAGAATGGGATTTCTCAGGCTGGGAAAAAGGCCAAGGGAGCTGAGGCACTTTAAGACCATGGAGTCTGGATCCAAGACAACTTGAATACTTAGGGGAGCAACAGCAGAAGCATCTGTACCAAACCACCAAACCCTCTGCCGCTGAGTCAGTCCCACTCGTTGCTTCCCTATAGAAGCATCTGTAAAAAACCAAACCCGTTGTCGTTGAGTCGATTCCGACTTATAGTGACCCTCTAGGACAGAGCAGAACTGCTCCACAGGGTTTCCAGGGAGCGGCTGGTGGATTCGAACTGCAATGCCCAATGCCTTTCTCCAACGCCTGGGCTCCACTCCTTCTAAACTGTGAGATCTGCTACATTGTTGAAAGAGAACTTCTTTTGGGGGGTGTGGAGTTAGTGAGGTTAACTGTAGGTTTTCATTTTTGGGGTGAGATAAAGGGGAAAACTGAGGTCTAGTGTGGGAGCTTCAGGAATAAAACCATGGCAGACAGGAAAATGTAAAGCAGTCTTCACAAGCATGCTTATATTTTAATGATCATAAAATAATTTATTTCTGATCTAATCCTTTTTTTGAATTTTTTTTTTTTTGTATTTTAAATAAAGGTTTATAAACCAAACTAGTTTCTCATTAAGCAATTTATACACATATTGTTTTGTGACATTGGTTGCCAACCCCATAACATGTCAACACTCACCCCTTCTCGAATTTGGGTTCCCCATTACCAGCTTTCCTGTCCCCTCCTGCCTTCTTGTCCTTGCCCCTGGGCTAGTGTGCCCATTTAGTGTTGTTCTGTTTTATGGGACTGTCTAATCTTTGGCTGAAGGGTGAACCTCAGGAGTGACTTCATTACTGAGTGTCCAGGGGCCATACTCTCAGGGTTGCTCCAGTCTCTGTCAGGCCAGTAAGTCTGGTCTTTTTTGTGTGTGTTAGAATTTTGTTCTACATTTTTCTCCAGCTCTGTCCAGGGCCCACTGTTGTGATCCCTGTCAGAGCAGTCGGCGGTGGTAACTGGGCACCATCTAGTGCTGGACTCAGTCTGGCGGAGGCTGTGGTCATTGTGGTCTATTAGTCCTCTGGACTAATCTTACCGTTGTGTCTTTGGTTTTCTTCATTCTCCCTTGCTCCAGCTGGGATGAGTCTGGTCTAATCTTTATGAGGGAGCCCTGGTGGCGCAGTGGTTAAGGCACTTGGTTGCTAACTTGAAGGTGGGCGATTTGAACACACCAGCTGCTCCATGGGAGAAACATATGGAAGTCTGTTTCGGTAAAGATTTCAGTCTTGGGAACCCTATGGGGCAGTTCTAGTCTGTCCTTTAGGGTTGCTATCAGTCGGAATCGACTCAATGGCAATGGGTTTGGTTTTTTGGTTTTAATCTTCCTGGGCTAGACTGATTTGTCTCAGAAGAAAACACCTTTCTTCAAGTCAGTGTGTGTGTTTAAAAAAGAATGTCTTACAGTTTATGCGATTACATTAGTTTATTATGTTTGTTTTAAAAATGAGGATAAGTGCTTCTGTCATGGAGCTCTGGAGCCAGGTATAATATTAAATCTCAAGACATTGAAATGAGTCTCTCTTGTTTGCCTTTCCCAAAGAGGACTTGAAATCTAATAAAAAGCCAGATTATAGACATGGTGGATTATGTCACACTCTGGAGGTTTGTAAAGAGTCTATCAAGCTAAAAGAAGTTACAAAGGTAAGGGCTTCCACAGAAACAACTTG